CCCTCTCCCTCTGCTTTCTCTGTTCCTTCGGGGACGGGATGGGTGGCAGGAGGAAGGGAAACGCGGAGAGGGTTTTGATGAGTAGGATACGCGGGGTGGAGGACAAGGGGAGCCTATCACTGTGTTGCGTTGTGTCCGCACTTTAATACGATTATCTGATCGCGGACGGACATTCAGATTATTTATATTACACGCTTGTACTTGCGGCCGCCGGAAGATTTAAAGCCACTTTAAGCGATTGTAAAATGCGTTACATACGCCGTGCGAAAGGGAGCGATTCTCCTTAGCTTTGTTGAATATTGGAAGTAGCGATGTTGCGTATTGTAAGTGATACGATACGTAGTGAGTTAAATCTTGATTTACGACTACTTTCGCCAGCGCTGACTATCATTTAACCACCGCATTAATTTTGTTTGATCCTCTATCTTATTAGATCTTACAAAATCAGATAGGGTCGAATCAAATAAATTTTTGGACGGGAGAGAATTGTTACACGATGTAACGTCTGTTGTGCAACGCATCTGAGCGTGACGCGCAAAAGCATTATTGCGATCACCTGCTTGGGAACCTGCGAGGAAGGTTTCCTCTCGAAGCGGACAAAGCGTTTACGATCTCGTGGCTTCGGTGCCGGGGTCTGTCTTACCGAGGGGAATTCGCATCGGATTGTATTCCGCGTACACGCCGATTGAAATCGATATTCCTCGCAAGGTCGGGCCGCAACAAAACGAGCGGAACAATGCATCACGCGGCGTATTCTCACCGGGCATCGGACTAACATGTAAAGCTCTACTCGCGATTTAATACACTCCGTGATCCTGCGAACCGCGGTATACTGTTGCTCTTCGCTAAATCTTTTTTCCGAATAAAAAAAACATCGAAATTCTTTTTAACGTATATATTCAAAAAATTTGAGAAAAATATGAAAAATCTAATATTGATATTCGCAACAGGTTGTTCGATGAAATACAAATAGTATATGATTGAGTGAAACAAAAAGAGAGATCTTTGGTAGTTCCCTTGTTCTTCCCTCACCGATTTTTACCCTTTTTCTTTTTCTTCCCAAGAGAGGTGAGTAGCAGATGTGTCAAGAGGACTACCTACAGTTCTGCTGGCACCATGGTCCAACAAATTTCCTCCCTTCCGAGTATCAATTCGATTCTTTTGTCTTCGCGTTTGTATCTCCCGAGAAACGGCGACGTGCTCAGCACGCTGCTGCACGAGCCACGAAGAGCTCATCGCCTCTTCGAGGTGGCAACAGTGTTGGCGGGAAAGTTATTCGACCGCTTGCCACTAAATCATTCCCCATGGACTCCTGCTTTATTATCGTCTGTCCTGCCTCCGCTTGTGTCGAACCCCGTAGCGTTCTGGCTCTTTGTCTCTCTCTTTCTCTCTCCTCCCCTCTCGTTTTCCGCATCTCCCCTGGCTTCTTCCTTTCATGGTCCTTAGAATGTCAGATAGATGCGTTAGTCGTCCTGGAAAAATCGCGATGGATGCGCGCGCGCATTCGCGCCGGGCACACAGGGGATGTTGTTGCAAATTAGAGTTCTATTATGGTAATTCTCACACGCATTCTCGGGACAGCGAGTTTAAATCGACTGCGAGGCGCTTTGAGGATATTAATAACGCCAGTTTATTAACGCACGGCGCGTATTATGGGACGAGTCGTAATATTTTATAGTACTCGCATGTTCGCCTATCGCCACACTTCCCCCATCGCTATCGACTATAAATACCGATAAAATACACGTGTTATACACCGACTGATATAACACGCGACTTGTATACTTTAATATAACATAATGCGTTCGCGCTATAATTTCGTTGCGACTCATTATAGCCCGTTCGTTTATGGCGCTTATCAGATCGGACGAGGTAATGACAAATGCCGACGAATATGCGTGCCGATTTATCGGCTTTCAGAAGCCTTATTCTAGTCCGCCTATGCGATCCGTTGGCGATCCGCCTACGAGGAAAGGAATATTTTCTCCGCGTGAGCCGTCCCGACCTCCTTAATTGTAGCTCAAGATTGCAATCTTGTTCTTTCGACGCGCCCTCCCTACGATTCTCACGATTCTCGTACATTGTTTCCGAGAGCGGAATATTATTGCTTGGCAGATAGCAAATTTAATTTCTTTCCCCTGCGTTCCTCTTGCCTCATTCACCGAACCGTCATCAGGCTTGCAATTAATCGTAAAAAAAAAATCCCTCGTGGGGAGAAAAACGTTGCAACTTTGTAAGAAACGTGTTCAGCGACGTGGCTCTGACCATATTATTAATGGCATACGATTAGAAAGATTTCACCCGTGCGGTTTGTTTTACTTTCAACGCTATGCCAACGCGGAATAATCGCTTAATTTGTTACGGAAACGTTTCTTTACGTGATTGTGAGATAAGCACGAACAACGAACGATTCGCGTTAATCATCGTCCTCATTACGGTTTCGCGGGGTGATCCGGCGAAGGGTGTCTTATCGCGACAAGTCGACCGGACGTCGTCGTAACGAAGTGATCGATCATCGGCACACAATTGCGATCCCGCGATTTCCACATTCCGTTCAATATGGGCGGATCAGTTCCCTCCCGAGTACTCGGGATCACGGTTAGATGGCCGGCGCGATACCTCGAACGCTAGAGGAAACTTTAAACTGTCATTAAGGCAACTTTGTCTGGGTTAAGGGGTTCATTACCGATCGGGACTCGCGTCTCAGTTTCTTCTGCGTCTCAGTTTCTTCGAGTTTCCGATGATTGGCACACGAGACGACTACCACTATGCCCCGGCAAATTACGTCTCGTGTCGGTATAAATTTACGAGTTAGTTCCTTTTCTCTTTCTCTCCCCTCCGACTCGTTTCCCTCCCCGTCGCCTTAATTCACCGATTGCACCGGTGGTGGCAATTACCCGGCCGGCCCGATCGATCGTAATCTGTCGATCAGACGGCATTATCGATCGCCGCGCAAGTAAAAATTGGAAATCGCTCGCCTTGTGTCTCGGACGACTTACAGTTATGTTACGCGCCGTAGACGCATGATAAATCATCGAGCAAAATATCGCGTCGCCGGAAGGAAAGCGCCATTTAAATCGCAATCCAAGTGAGAAGTTTTATTGTTCCAGCATCCGCGCTGAGACAAGAATCTATTCATCAATGTGAACGTATCTATCATACACAGGAAACGCAGTGCCCGACATAAAATTTAAATACTTTGCATAAACGAACAGAGAAAATCGTACAGAAATAAACGAACATGTTTGAGTACATAATTTATGCTTGATCTCCGACATGGTAACCACAAAAAAGGACAAATATTTTTGCAATAAAAGACACCGCGACTGAGATCGAGCGTCAAGCGTATTCTCTCCGAGAGAACAATCTGCCAACGATGCGTTCACGAGGTGGGGAAAAAATGGGGAGGCATTTTCGTTAACGACCGTACGGGAATCTCGTAACTTGTATTACATCTCGTGGGGTGGGGTAGGTGGCGATGAATCGTCGCATAAATCACACGCACTGGAAGCACTGGAGGCGTCCATCACCGCCCCCACGTCCATCCGCTCGCCCGTCCGTCGCGGTAACGTCTTCGGGTCTTCCTCTGGGAGGGCAGGGAAGGGAAGGCTCGCTCGCAAATTAGTCACTGGGGCCCAGATTACGAATGGACCACCTCCCCGGCGATTCGCGAGTATCCCGTTTCAGGAACGACGGGCGAAATTAAACAAAGTGCTTCGCCCGGGTAGATTCCGCCTTCGGGGAGGCGCGACGACGTCGCACCCTTCGTCATCCACATGTCGTTGTGTTGTGGCGACAAAAAAAAGATTCGCGAAACGAACAAATGGGATCGATAAATTTCAACAGAAAGTTATTCGTCGTAGAAACGAGCTTCGGGAAAGACTAACACTCTTGACGCTTTCTCACCATTTGGTTTCAAATTTTTCCTTATTAGATGGTTATTTGACATTAGGTTGTTTGTTTTCTAAGAATTCTGAATAATATTTTTGCGATATTTCTTTTTCTTTCCCGATTTCAAGAAGCGCTTGGATTATTATTATCGTAATTATAAACTATATCTGCATTTTCGCTATATTTTTGGAACGAAGGACGTAGAATCTCGGTTTCCATCGCCTTTCGAACTATATAATGAATTGCAAATATACGATATGCTAAATTGTAAAGATTTGCGCGAAAACGTACACACATATCGATTCGCCATACTTCGGAATCTCTGTTTTAACCGCGGTGTTAACCTTGATTTATCTTTGTTACAGGTGCAAGCCACCGATCCCGATTGCGGCGTAAACGCAATGGTCAATTATACCCTGGCCGGCGGTCGATTAGAGAATGAACAGCTTTTGGTGCGCAGTGATACAGGAGATATTTGCATCCGGTCCTCGTTGGATAGAGAAACGGCGCCTTATCTGGAACTGCCTGTCATTGCCACCGATAGAGGTTTGTGCCATTTTTCTTTTTGTCGTCCGATTGTTAAATCGTGCAATTTTAACAAAATAACATTTCATAATATGTATATCTAGCTACGACTTAATTATTTATTCTTAATCGCCTTCGATATTTTTTTTCTTTATTATTGCTTTTTAATTTAGAATCGATTAACGACAAAATCTTACCAATCACCGAGTCAAAATTTTCTCGATATTTTTCCAAGGAAGGAAATATCCGTGAGATAGCGATCTCTTCGTTCCTTGTTTGACATCGAGTATCGCAGCCGTGAATTCCTCCGTTTTCAGAACTTGTTGTCTAAACGCTTAACAACCTCGGCCATTGTAATCCGAGACGTTTGCAACCGTTGCGATGATTCAGTTTGATCGCGAGATTTCTCACGCTATCGCGATCTTTCGTTCCGACGTAGGAACAATGCCCGGCTTCGCTATTCCGCGTGCGAGCCTCACGTACACGCACGGGCGTTGATAAGGGGTAGCGAGACAAGCAGAAACAAGTGGAAGCGGCGAACGCGCGGCGACACGCGCGCAGAAACCCGCGGCTCGGAAAACGGGAAGAGAAACGAGGTACAAAGCGACGAGGAGGGGGAAGAGACGTTTCAGCTATCGGCCCGCCGAGATCTAGTAGCTCTGTAATAGGGTATATGATTTATGTCGACGGCAGACTCCACGCGGTCATTTTCAACGCTGCCGCTCGCAGTCGCCTTATGGAAAAGGACTGAAGGTCCATCCCGGGTCTACCGTGCGACCATCGACCATTGCCATTTATCCAATCTTTCGCGATGCTTTCGAAAACGCGGCGACACTAGCGGGAGAGATGAAGGCGGCGAGAAGAAAAATCTGCCGGTGGCGTCAAGGAGGAGGCAAAAAGGAGAAAAGTTGAAAGGGATGGAGATAAGAGAAAAGGAGGATTATTGTTATTGTCGACGTTATGCCGTTTTGCAAACAGGCGCGGACGCGGCCGCGTAATTGTCGCTCGTTATCTACTACGACCGTACGTTGTGCAACGGCAGCGTCGGCGACACTACCCGACAGACAATAGAATCGGCCGGATATGACAGGCACCGACGTACGCGGGAGCGGCTGCCGAGTGCTGTCGTAGTACATCGCAATACCAATGACTACCGGCGCGACGTGATTTATATCATTTGCTGACGCGCAACGTGAGCGCAACGCGCGACGATCGTCCCGGTAAGAAATCGATAAGCGGAAGGGAAGGACGAGGGACGCGGACCTCTATTCCGCTGCGGAACAAAAAAGTGACAATTTGAGATAATAGATAATTCTCTCTTCTCTTTTTCTCAATGAGGTGTGTACAATCGTGCGCAATCGGGCACGCCGCATCTTAGCCAATGAGTCCGGCACGTAGAAATATGATTGCAAATACCTTCCGGCGATTCGCACGTCCTCGCCCGTCTAGCGCTTCCTCGTGACGCCGCGCGGAGCGGCCCGAGACTCATTAATCCTGCTTCTCGTCTCTTATTTTTACAATGGCGACTAACTCTTTTTATTGCCCGCCTGTAATTCGCACGGAGAAAATAATTTTGGCGCGACAGCAGTAAAGCGAATCGCGAGAGCCACCGCGAACCACGCGGGCCAGGTGCGTGTGATTTATACCCGCTGACGATCGCCTCGCGGACGACGACGGCGACGACGACGAAGATGACGACGATGAAGGAGGAGTTGTCTCCCCCATCTCCCTCGTGCTGCGGCAGCAGCACACCTCGCCGCTGCCAGAAGGTGCAAAGAGGTGCCGTATATCGTCGTCGATCGTTTATCGGCGGGAAACGCGGACGATAACCAAACTCCACGGCGAGGTTTTATCGCGCTAATAGCAGTGGATAACGCCGTGCGCGCGTTCGCGGCGATAATTATTACCTGCGCGCTCGGGGATCGAGGCGGAGATCTGCGAAAGGCATCTGCCTTATATACGAACGGATTTTCTCGAGCGAGTTATTCTGCCCGGCTGTGAATGCAAGCGGATGCGGAATCGGCACTAGACGCCGGCCGCTCAAGGGGATTGCCGGCCTAATCACTTGGATCACTCGATGGATAATAAATTTAGACCGGTATTCAGTTAATTGTTGTTGGCAATTAGATTAAAAAATTAATGGATGAAAATTTTCTTATCTCTCGATACGCGGATCTGTGGGCGAGTATCTGCTATTTTGTTCGACTCTTCATCTTGTTGCCGTAAATTACAGATAACATTGTAGAATCGCGATATGTAATCAAGTCCTATGAAAAGCGTTTCTCTCAACGCATTTGCGATGCGATGCGATTACCGATATCATTCGGCATATACGTCCAAACTGGATCCTCCTCTTCTAGCGAGCGGTCTTCAAAGCGGAATCTCCAGTCGGCGATCGATTATGTGCGAGCGCGATATCTCAATGCAATTTTCACGTTAATCTTCCGGCGGAGTTTTCTGCGTAGTTTTTGTCATGTCGAGATATTCCGAGATTGGATTTTATCGCTGCTTTGTTGATGAAAAATCGACAGATCGAAGGAAAAATATTTTTTTCCATTTTTGAAATCTTGATATCGCGCGTATTCGTCTCGCAGTTCTATCGTAGGTAGGTACAGAAACGCGTAAAAAAAGGAACGTTCGGAGGGATGCACCGACTTCGCGATGCACAGTCCGAAGCCACGCTGGAAGGTGATTTTATTGGCACCGACGTCATAAATCTCCGGAGGGAGGGGGGCTTAACTCCCACCGACTGTCATTGTCCGCGCCGTTTTCGCGCTTATTTATTTCACCCTTTCGACTCCCGCCGCGTTACCGCGCATAATCCCGGATATGTCACCGTGCGAGCTTTCAGTTCGCACTTTGTAGCATATCGCAGAATCAGCGTGCGCGCATTCGCGCATGGCATATTAATGGAACGCCTGGTTTCGCCCAGGTAAGAGAAAAAGAAACGTATTACAGGCTTATGTGAAAGCAAGTGTCTGCCACGCTCAACCCGTTGCGTGCGATTTAAGGAAAAGTTACTTCTCGATTTTGGATCGGTGGGTATGGAAAAAAGAAGTTGGAGATATTAAAAAATGATCCTAATTAAGCCCATGGGATGCCAATACTTACGAGCGTGTTTCCGCAACGCACGTCGTGGAGAGCCCATTCCCCCGCGCGGCGCGTTAATTTCTCTATATGAGGTTGAGCACCGCCGCACCTACCGGCCGCATAAATCTCTCGGAGCTCCTCGTATCCCCCGCCGCACGAATCCCGAAAAGAACTCATCCCGGCGATCGACCGCGTGAAATTAAAAGGGCCGGACTGCAGCGGACACGAAAATATCAGGCAACATACATTAAAATGCCGTTGAACTATCCCCAGGAAGTCGGCATCCGTTCGTACTTGGAGCGCTGCGCGCTCTCCGTGTCTTCCGTATCGAACGCGAGAGCGCGTAATCAATTTTTTTTACCCCGGGAAAAAAGGAAAAAGAAATACTGTAAGTGCGTTAGTTTGATCTGCGGGAAGCGCCCGTGTCCAACGGTCAAGAATTGACCGTTGTTAGAGAAGCACGCAACTAGTCTTTCTGATAGGTTTCACAAATGAACCGTGTCCATGATTCCGGAGATCGATGCTATATTCGATGTCTGGATGTTTCACAAACGATCGGATGCTTCATCTTTCCGTAGAGAGCCTCCTTCTCGGAGGAGGGATCGTGGTGGCATCACAAACTGGGGATCGGGGACCGGCTCTTTGACGCATAACTCCAATGACACTCGCACCTATAAATCTCCTCGCGCTCGGAGAGAGCTCCGCTCGGCCGAGTCCATACATTACCGTGAGTTACGGTTGTAAACCGTTTAAACATCGGATTACCCGTTTTACATACTGTCTTTGATATTAACACTTGCGTCAGGCATTGCCTAAATCCGAGGCGATGACCGGATCCCGTCGCGTCTAATTTCTCGTTGTTCATCGGCGTCACGCTCAATACGAAAATAGAGAGATAGAATTAGCAGATAATCTCCGATTAATTTCAAACGGGAGATGTATTACGATTTAGTTTAGCGATGTAGATGCAGCGAGCCGCCGACAAAGTGAAGTTCTTACAACCCTTGCTGTTTGAGTTCTGCACTATCAAACAAAATAATTTTCTAGGAATAATTTGCAAGGACGAAGAATAATAGCACAATCGCTTCTTTAGCGGTGGTTCGCATCGTTCGCATGAGACGATCGATGTATTAGCGAAGTAATTACCCCATGGTGTGGCCCACGGTGCTCCAAAAGATCACGGCCATTTGGGGGGAGACTCCGTAAGCTTCTCGCGTCTGATCTGAAATATTACCACGAGCGGCGCATTACCCCGCGCGCGGGGGTTAAAAGGAGCTCACGTCGACGCATACGTGCTCGCGTGTATCCGAATAAAATGCGAAGGGAAAGGGACGGGGTATTGACCGAGGGAGAGGAAGCTGAAAGAAGAATGGAACGTGAAAGAAAGAGAGCGAGATGAAACAGGAGAAAACTCGACGAACGGAGAGAGCGAGAGACTCTCCGGCGGCTGATTGGGTCCGAGAAAAGGCCGCGAGAACGGAACGCTCGTGATTTATGTCGACCGGCTTCGGGCGCGTCCCCGTAGATTCATTCTTTATGCCGGCTAATACCCCGACATTATTTGGCTCGATAAGAGGATTTCGACCGGGAATAAAATAAACATAATGTGCTCTCTTCTCGCCTCCGCGCATGCGTCCTGGATCATTCGCGATCTCCAACGAGCACCCAAATACGTGTTCAACCGCGTAATTCTGATAATTAATTACTGTCCGTCAAATCAAATTTGTATTTGTAAAATTGCTGAAAGTGTGTCAGTTTTGAAATTTCAATGTTACTTTACTTTTTGTCAGAAATCCAAATGACTTTTTCTTCGCTGCACTTGATCTCATTTTTTCTTACAATCATTAATTCTGTAATTACAATCACGTATATTTAATATGTTGCATTCTGTTTGCAGGAGGACTAAGTACGATAGCGATCATACGCGTCCAGGTGACAGACGTGAACGATAATCGGCCAATTTTCGAGCCTCGCCAGTACAACGTGACCGTACGCAACAACGGTGGGGTGCATGGTCCGATTCTGAGACTGGTGGCGACCGATCTCGATGCCGGCCTCTTCGGCCAGGTTGCCTATCGCATCATCAGCGGCAACGAAGCTGGGGTCTTTCATATCGATCGTAACACTGGCGAACTGCACGTGGCGAGACCGAGTCTACTTTCGCGGTCGCCGTTACATCAGCTCAACATAACCGCGACAGACGCGGCCGGTCTGAAGAGCATCGCCGACGCCGAAGTCAAGGTCACCGTCTCCTCCGCGGCACACAGAATCGCCTCCTGCGAGAAACCGCGCTACACCGTCACGGTTAAGGAAAGTATCCCACAGAACACCGTCCTCGGCGGCGTGAAGGATACCGCGACAGCGTCATCCTCGTCATCAGGTATGTCGATTCGCCTTTATGTTAAGCCTTTTCATTGACAGGCTGTTGCGTCGTGTAACGCATCATCGCTCGTGTAACATCACGCCGAACACGTGCCGATAATACTGTGACTGACAGGATAAGAATAATGGAGATTTTTATATTTGTACTCACGTAAACTTGATATGTAAATTTTATTTATTAATTTTATTTATAAATTTATGAATTATTTATGCATACCAGTATTATGTTTTGATATATTTTTGCGCAGCGCATTAGTATATGTCGCATACTTTCTCGTTGCGTTCTGAATTTCCGAGTTTGCATTTGGAAAAGCTTGAAAGTTATCTTGGGGCAGCATCACTACTTGAAATCATTTACGAGGTTTGCGTAAAAACACTTGCATACCGGAGTTAATCTAGCTGGTCTTTTAAAACGGAGATACGATCCTCGACCAACGAATACCTCGAAAACGTATTCCACGCGCGGCGCTACCGCGTTAGCATAGTCGCGTCACGAGTAAAATACCGAGGACTTTGCAAACGCCTACGTGTACATACGTGCACGTGGACGTACGCTCAGGCACGATTCGCGAATCTAAAAGCCCAAGCGCATCACGAATGAAGATACCCACTCCGCCTTCTCCTCTCTTTATACAAGATCGGCGAAATAGCAGTATCTGCGTTTTTTACGTTCCGAGAACATGATATCGCGATATAGGTCGAGGAGAAAATTCCACGGGATAAAATTTAACGACTCGGAAAACGCAGGCTAGCGGGGGGGGGGGGAAGGGATTTCGCGAATTTAAGCTAAACAGGTGGTCTTCGAAAAAAGGAAAGAGACGGGATTTTCGCAGCGGGAGAAGGTTGAAATCGTGGACAATGTGAGAGAGAAGAAGAAGGAGAGAAAGAGGGAGAGGAGACGAGGGAGGACGAGGGAGCACCGGTAAGGTCGCGGACGGGTGGGTGGATTGCTCCGTGCCGATATACCGGGACACGAAGCGGAGAGGAAGGAGCCGAGCCGATCGAGGGAGATCGAGAGAAAGAGAGGAGAAGTACGTATCCGTGTTTCCACACTGGTGGTACATCCGATGCAAGATACGGCGCGTCACGATCCGCGCTCGCCGCGCCGTATACGCCGATGCGCCGTGTAAACTGTCCCGCGCAGTATCGAGCGGCACGGTACGTTATAGGCCTGAGGATGCAGGATAGTTTACACGGTGGTGCCTTACCGGTGGTCATATTGTTCGCCCCGGCGTGGCCCGCATATGCAGCGCTGTTGCATATCAATGCGCGAAGCTATACCTCCCTCGCCGAGCGACGTCGTGGATCTCTCTTCCTCCTTCCGTTCTTCTTCTACTTCGTTTCTTCTCTCCTATTTCCTTCTATTTCCTCTCGTCATTCTTTCTCTTCGGAGCAACCTCTCGTCTCGCTTATTCGTTTTCTTTCGTTGCGCCCGCGAATTCAGACGAAGGGAAAGAGAGTGCGCTATCGGAGGTTAAAAAACATTGAGACAAATCATAATTGTGACATAGCGACTATGATGGATGAATTTTGAGTGAAATGTAACTTTGACACGCCTTTCAAAATTCAAAACTAATTGATTTTAGAAAATTGAACGGAACCTTGACGGAATATTTCTACACTTTCACTTTGCCCAATGCTGGTTAGAAGTCTGTATCCTTTGAAGCTCGAGCATAGAATATAAAGAATATAAAGAAGCATGTAACGAAATGTGCGCGTGAAGTGCCTTATACATGACACGAATATCGTTTCGGACACCGCGCATTCAAAGCTATTCTTCCGGCATCGGCCGATCGGTTGGTCGGTCGGTTGGTCGATCGGTTTCAGGACCCGACTTCCAATCGGCCACGCGTCCGACCGAAAACCAGTTCGCGCAGAAGAACGCGGCCTGACACTCAGGCCCGCAATATTTGACACACGGCAGCCAATCAGATTATCAGATTAAAGTTGAACGGGCCGACGATCGTCGGCACAGGTGCGGTTCGTTTCAGCTGTGCCGGAGAGAGAAAGAGAAATCTCGCGGGCGCGCATTGATGTGCACCGGCGATCCGTGCTACCATTTTGCGACACCTGTTCCAATAAGTCAGACCGGATCCCGAACGAAGGAAGTGGTGAAATGGCCAACTTCTCTTTGAAATTAGATTTTGATTAGATCAGTTATGTTGACCGATTAGCTTCCAGCATAATAACAAACAAATCTTAATATTAAAATATTCGTATTACAAATTTATATTACGTAATCATTATTTCGGAATTTAATATTATCCTTTTGTCAACAGGTACGTGATATTTAAATTTTATTACCATTGATTGGCGCATTAAAAAAACATGCTTGATGATTGTAAATTCTTAATACAATCGAAATCTATGAACAAATAGATTCATTCCTCATCAAATGAGTTAATTTTTAAATATTAAAGTGAGATAACGACTACGATCGGTTTGTCTTATTTGACAACGCGACACTTGCCAATGAGATATCCAATCAGATTAGCGGATCGAGTCAAATGTTGATGTAAAACGAGGATCGAGAGACGGGGACTAACTACCATTTTATGATCACCTTCCGATGAAGCAGATTTCGCGCGAGCGCTTCTAGCGAATCACGAAAAACGAAGAATCGTTAAAGGGGTGACGACCGACGGAAGAGCGATTATTTCGACGACGCTTCGGAGCTGTTAAAACCGACGTAGATGAATTCCTTATTGGGAAGTAGTTGTTCGTTTCGCGGACGGTCGGCTGTCCCGATCCTTCCATAAAACCTGGCGACAAAGTGAGGAACGCGTTTCATTTTACGAGTCGAGTTTATGGTACCTGGGAAGCGAAGGGGAGAGTCAACGCATCGTGATCGCGTCGACTAGAGAAGACCAGACCGGTCTTTATCTTATCCGCGGAACGAGCGACCGCTCCCAACTTTGTGCCGAGACCAATCCTCGAGCTATGGGAAGGGGAGGGTGTTCAGAAATCGAATGATGACGTGGATTTGAAGATTTGGGAAACGAACTTTGAGGCACGAAATCGAATTGGCGATCAGGCGAAATCAATGGTCGCGCTGAAATTTTATTCGCTCGATTTTATCTTACTAGGAATCTCGTACGCACGGAAAGTGCGACGCGAGAAACACGAATGGTAATTGACACGTGGATCGCTGATAGAAAGTACCGGAGGCGACCGGGGCGACATTGATACAGGTCACGTTGAGAAATCGACGCGCGGCGAGCCGGTCAATCGGTACACACAGAGGGTACTTTGCTCTCTCCCGTGAAAGCCCGATGTGAACAACACGAAACAAGACGACCGTTGTTGAACAGCAGTTTCGCAGCACGCGGAAGAGGCGATAACGACGGTAACAAGCGTCTTCGTTAGAAAGCCAAGGCGCAATCGGCAACCGCTCATCAGAAAGTCGCGCTATTCTCCATCTCTTTCTTTCTCTCGTCGGTTTGCCGCGCTCGATTATGCACCTCGGCGGTGATTTGCGAAAAAAGTCAGCGAGTAACGACAAACGGGTTATGGACTACGCGCGTTCGCATAGTTAGATTCGCATAGTTAGTGTCATAGTTAGCGCGATGTACGGAAGTAATATCTTTTACGAGTCGTCACATTATTTCGCGCTGTTAGTTCGCTCTCGCAATTATCACGACGTTCTTCATTGTCGGGGCGGGTACATCTTAATTCAAAGCGCCGATAATTAGATCGAGTAACGCGGAGTGAAGTTCGAGGTAATCTCACCTCGGCATTCTTGAATCGAGAATCTCGTACTTTTCGGGACCTGGCATTCGCGTGGAAAGAATGCACGCTTCTCGAATGCTGGTCGAGGAGACGCGAACCGAACGAAGAGATCGCAACGAGCGAGGGAAGGAGAAACGATGCGAATGCGAAAGGAAGAAGAAATGATAGTGGTAGTGGTGGAGGAGGAAGAGAAGAAAGAGGAAGAGGAGGAGGAAGGAGGGGAAGGAGGAGGAGGTGGACCGTCGCCGAGGTCGCATAAATCGTCGTGAGTCGGATTCCGGGCAGCCGAACGCAAGCCGCCATTGTCCGAGACTTTTTGCCCCTCTTTCCTTACCAAGAGGGGGCTGCCGCTACGGAGCTGCACTCTTTGCATATGCTTTAAATATCGCCGCTCCGCGCGCTTGCTTTGAGGGCTCCCAGCACCACTCACTTCTCTTTTCCTCTCTTGTGCGCGAAGAAAAGACAGCGCGCGCGGCCCGAGGGGTGCGAGTAGGGTGAGAGTAGGAGGAATGAAAGATGAGGAACGTCGAGAGAGGAATCCGAAGTTCGCTGATTGTCAACTCCTCTTGCCGCAATTGGAGACTCGCGTTAGACGTATCGTGGGATCTACGATTTGTATCCTACGCTGCCTTGAAAGTGTAGCGTGATCCCCTATCGAGAAGACATAAAAGAAGCAATTTCTCGAATTTACGACAAGGTGTAGCTAAACCGCTCTTATCAGTCCCAGTATAGCATCGTATCGTCCGTAAATTTGACCGTCCAAATTTCCTCTAGATACAAAAAGTAAACGAATAAAGTCGATATTTTGGGAACTACTTCATCCGACCAAACCTAATCTTATCCGTGCGACACGTCGTCCGTCTTTACGAATTTAACGATGACACTATAAAGATCAACGGCACGCTGGCAGGCCGTTTAAGACTGGTCATAAAGATATATCCGGATATAACGCGTAAAATGATCTGGCTGTAATGTTCCGGAATAGGGTATAATCCGCCACTCTTGGCGATGATCAAATCATAAGAAATGCTCGTTCGAGTTAATGATACGATACTCGCGCCCTCTTTATTGTTAATTATCATCAATATATCGTATTATTCATATTATTTTATAATGCAGTCTAACTTCTTGAGTAAATACAACATCCCATTTTGTTGAATTCGACGAACGAACGCTTACCACGAATTCGTTAGCTCGAAGTATACATTTCTTCCATGAGCGTGATCCAAAGCGTGCCTCGTCATGACGTACATCGCCCCTTTTCTTCGC